CTATCTGTGGAGAGATAATTGTTAACGTTCTGTAAAATGGTCACTGGACTGGAAACGTGAACTCTGTAGATGCTGTTAGACCTGCTGAGTTTCTCCAGCAACTTCTGTTTTTGTTCCAGATTTCCAGGTCCACAGTTCTTTGTTTTATGACCTGTGATTTCAGGTCTATGACCTTTTTATCAGAACAACTCCTGTCTTGCCTAAACGTGTTATTAACCAAATATGTTTTATGTTAGCAATTCCAAATTTAATTGAAACAACAAAATATTTGAAAAGATGTTTCTGCTCTCTATCCTGTGATCACTTTTTCCTATTTTATATCGATAATGTAATAAGTGGAGGCATGGCTGTTGGTGTTATCGCTGGACTTTTAATCAAGAGACCCAGATAATGTTCTGGGGAATCGAATCCCGTCATGGCAGACGGTGGAATTTGAATTCAATAAGTATCTGGAATTAAGAATCTAGTGATGACCGTGAATCCATTGTTGATTGTCAAGAAAAACCCATCTAGCTCACTAATATCCTTTAGGGAAGGAAACTGCCATCCTTACCAGGTCTGGTCTACATGTGACTCCAGACCCACAGCGATGTGTTTGACTCCTGACTGCCGTCTGGGCAATTAGGGATGGGCAATAAATGCTGGCCTAGCCAGTGATACCCTCATTCTGTGAACAAATAAATGAATTAAAAAATCAGGAACTCAATGCACAGTTGTCAGGTTCCAAATTAGGAGGGACAGTGGATTTGGAAGCAGCATGTCAAAAGTTCAGACTGAATTGGACAAGGTAGGTGACTGAATTGGATAAGATAGGTCAGTGGATTGGGCACTTGATGTATTCTCCTGCTCCTTCAATGAAAGAGTGTTCTGCAGAATAAAAGAAAGTGTAAGACTATTTTACTGTCTAGATTAATGTCACCTTACATGTGAAGACCAACACAAGAAACAAAGCAGAGAAATGTAAGATATTAAACACAAACTAACAAAATAGGTAAGAGGCTAATCTAGGAATTATATTAAATGGTATAACTATGAAACCAGAGGAGGATTTGGAATCCTGATAGCCTCAAATGATCTAACGATGCAGAACAACAATTGAGAAAACCAAAGGGGAAAACAAAAATTGCTGGAAATACTTTCATATCAAACAACACCAATAAAGCAAGTTGGGTGTTGAATTACAAATCAATAAAATATGTTAGTAAAAACAGTGGGCAGGGATCCTGTTCTGCAGTGAATAGTATCCTAGCTCAGAATCTGAAGTAATATGGGTTCAAGGACTTGATGGTTAAGGAATGTCTGTTTATTACACTGCCAGACAGGTTGAGATTCAACTTGTAAATCTACGCAGCATAGGCCAATGGCAGTGTATGAACAGGATATAGTCTGGGTCAGCCACCTGCATAAAAAAATGGCAAACCACCGCATTATGTTGTGAAGCATAACCATGGACCAACATAGAAGCCCAGGATCCATGACGCACCTAAAAAGGAGAGACAGTGGTCAAA